CCAATTCTTAGCAGCTGAGTACAACTCAACGCAACCTTTAATTGAGTCAATTCGAGAACTTTATCCTTGTGCTCCTGGTGATTGACTCAAACATGTTGGAGTAGGTTTATTACAGAATGAACCTATGTTAAACTGGTCGCACGGAACTTTACACTAATTATAAATTCCGTAAACTAATATGAACTGTACCACATACAACACATCTCTACATACATTCTGCGGCTAGATACCAAAAGTAACATATTTATGGCGGCAAAACAGAAAGCTCAGCCACCGCGCTGTTTTCGAAGGATGTTTTGTGGGAGATGTGAACGAGGGGTGGGAAATGGATGAGAGAGAGAGAGGTGTGGTATCGAGGGGGCTTACATCAAGATTTTATCAAGTCTATCAATATTGAATATACATATTATGTGTGCCAAGTGCCGGCGAACAATGTGATGTTACCATAAAACACATTATCAGTTGTCAAGTTGATGTATGGTGTTGATCCTGGCAGGAAGAGGATATAACAGGACTAAAATGGGATATGGGTATGTTTCCGGTCTTTCCAAGATTTGTGTAAATATTATGAAAACGAATTGAATAAAAATCAGTAGAGTTAACGAAAAATTGTGCTGAAATAGGAATATAGCTTCCGTTGACCCGATCACAGGCGACCAACCATGAACCGTTGTTTTTGTGCTACTTGGCAACTCCTCAACATGGTATAGGCTTGGACTCGGTGGAGAACGAGCGAAAGCTAAGCAACTGTACTACTCGTATATGCCGAATATAACGTTTATCGAAATAAGACAGTACGAAGTGCCATCTATGACCAGAATTGACCACTGTGAAGTGAAAGCAGCAAGCTGTCTGTTAAAACTGTATACTAGTTCATTGTCAGGCCGGTCACCTTATACTCTGGATAGAGTAGAGTTGCCCAGCTTTCGTTCGTTTTCCTCCGAAACCAAGCCTAGACCAAGCTGAGGACTTGCCAAATAGCACGAAATGCATGGTTTGCCGTCTGTAGTCGGACAAACAAAAGCTATACTTGTATTAACCGTTTGTTCAATGGCGCCTAGACCGTATCTACTATACCTAGCATTAGGTAGGCATTGGTAGACAAATTAGTCAAAAGTCACTAAAAATACACAAATCTGCCGACAAATAATGCATTGGCTCCTTCTAACCTATTCAAAGTCTTTGGTTCCAACAGACAACTGTTTTCACTTTCGCAGCGGTCGATTCTGGTGATAGATGTCATTTTTTTATGTAGGGTTGTATATAATATGATTCGAGATATGTCTCATTCTATGCCTATTTGTTTTAGCGCTTGTGCTTTGTGTGCTTGTATAGGTTGATATCCCTTTTTTCTATACAGAGTGTTTCACAACTTATCCGACAAATTTTAACCACATATGCACTGTTACGAAAGAAGTTGATTTCTCAAAAAAAATGTAATAAAAGTCCTAAAGAAATCGCGATTATAAAATAATACAGTTTAACAGTTCACTTACGTATAAAAGCTGTTCAAAATTGTTTCCATTGACTGCAGTTGGGCCTCATGTAATATGCGCCACGCTATTGCATGTGACACTTCTGGGACCTGTTCGGTTAACTGCCTTGTGCTTATTCCCGGATTTTCTACCACAATATCCAAAATTTCGTCTTCGGCATTTAAAACGCGTTATAAGCGAACCCGACCCCCATCCACTCCACGTCTGGGGCGCAAATCTCCACTAGCACGTGTACGTAAGACAATTGAACTATTTGTTCCGTGATGTGGTATGTGCCTATTCGGAAATCGGTGTGCATACAAACGAGAAGCCGCTCGCGAATTTTGCTCTGCTTCTCCGTACGCTAAAGCAAGGTCCACTAACTCCTCATTAGTGTATACATATGCCATTTTCATTAATTAATAACTAAACACATAACTCGCAAAATACTATCTTATTTAACTTCACAGAAGTCGACAGTTCGTCATTCAGATCACCCACGATTCAGATTAAACCTTATTTAAGGATCCCCCAAACCGACGCGAATATTTCGCAGCGACTGTGATTAATTCGCGACGACATTGTCGCCCAGGGACTCTTCTCGTAGAAGCAAATGGACAAGAACAGACCTGTGCGTCAATTTCGCTCACAGCGCAGCGTCTAAATTTTAATTCGCTGCTTGCATGATTTTTTTCGCTGTCGCAATGGCAAACACTGAAAAACTTCTGGAAATAATTAAACAATTTCCAATTCTCTATGACTTGAACAACGAGGACTACAAAAATGTTCGAAAAAAAGACAAAATCTGGGATGAGACAGGAGTGGAATTGAATGACACCGGTAAGTTACTCTTTACTGAGAAATTATTATAATACGTTTATTATTTATGAATGTCTTAGTTAAGCTGAACTTGACCAACAATATTAGGAGTTGAAGTAGTGAACAAATTTTTCTCGTGTAGAAAATGCCAGATTCGTTACACGTCTTGGATCATTTTCGATGTTGGTAAAGGCTTGTGATGGATCTGGATCTTCGTCTAGAAGGTGTATATACTGTTCGTCACATTGCGTACAGCGTAAAAAATTATGCAGAACGCATGTAGTTTTTACTATTAAAATTGTAGTATCTGTTTTCGTTTCCATGGGCCTATAAACAATTCTCCACTTTTGACTTAGAATCCCAAAAGCATTTTCCACTACTCTCCGCGCCCTGCACAGCCCAGTATTGTATTTTTCTTTTCTAGCGTCTGCCTTCGACTGTCTATATGCAAACGGTCTCATTAGGTAGAGTTTAAGGGCAAATCCTTCATCTCCAATCAAAACATGAGGGCATGGTTTCCTCTGTCCAGGTAGAGGCTTATCTTCTGGAATGTGCATCAACCCAACTTCAAATCGTTGTCCCATGGTAGAAGCCTACTCCGTTCTTCCTCCGCCAAAGCAAGATATAGAATTGCTGCTTCTTCTTCATCTGAAGAGTACATGTTTTAATTTGATTTTCAAAGCTACACTCTCACACCGTTTACTGCCAATCCACTGCGATCCTTTCGCTTCGATATGAAAGTCCCTAAGATGTTCGCAGCGAATTTCGCGAGAATTATATCGCCACGAATATCGCAGCGGATTAATCGCGTTGGTTTGGGGGATCCTTTACACGTTCTTAAATCAGTATGAAAAAACGAAAAATTCCTGGTATTTTGTTTCCGTTAGTTGTTTTTGCTACAATAAATTATTAACGCGTGTTCTAATAGCACGACGATGAACGCAAAATACAGATATTCATTTTTCAATTTATTATTGAAACTCAGGTTTATAACTTAATTTCTGTAGGACTTTTAATAGATTTTTTTTTTTGAGAAATCAACTTCTTTCTAACAGTGCATATCTGGTTAACATTTGTTGGATAAGTTGTGAAACAACCTGTATAAAAGGTTGTAATTTTGTTTTTTCAGCAGATCTAACTTCGCCTTAGTCAAAACCATTTCAGAATAATAGATGTTGGCATATATATTTTCTTATACCGGAGCAGGCAGAAGCCAGGGTACCGCGGCTGCTAGGAGGAGCTTAAAGAAACTTTGTTAATTCGATCTCTGAACTGCCTAAGGTTAGCAGAACTGCTCAGGTAGGTTCTTTAACAATCTCGATAACCTATGAAAAAAAGGAGCGGTCGTATCAGCCAGTTCTGGAAGTACGAAGCCAATCTTTACCATGGCATCCTACTGATTCATACCTATAATACTACCTCGCCGCTTTGATCCACAATATTCGAAAGCAGCTGTTTGTTTTCGCGCTTCACTTCCTCGATCACGGTCTGCTTTGCTTGCTGCTCCACTTTTTTCAGCGTTAGGTGAAGGCTTGATCAGTTCCTACACCTACCCCTACCATGTTTGCACCCCACGATATAACTAGCGCGTCCTAGTTGACGCCAATGTACGCGGTGCGGTGTCTACGCCTAATTGACAAGTTTAATAACATAATGCAGCAGCGTCACATACGCTGCTGAATGGCTGAAGCTGATGCAGGCACAGCCCCAGCTTCACTTTTGGAACGCGCAACGCGACATGTCGAGCTACACACAGCCGAACACCCGTCATACTCTTCGCTGATAGGTTTGGGTGTTTGCGCGGAAACGTATACCGTTCTCTGAACAATATTATGTCACTGGTAAATAATGCGGCTTTGATATATAGTACACGTGAATGTAATGAACCTATTATGTGACGTCACAAATTATAAATGCTTACAGAGTGGCACTCCATAATGATAGATATAGATCATTGATTCCCAAAGTAGTCTATATCGACCCCTAGGGGTCTACGACAACCTGCAAGGGGTCTACGTCAGCGAAAAAAAATTTGGGGGTCCATGAAATGAATATGGGGGTCCACGATAGTGGATCTCAACACATACACTGATAGTACCTATTTACTTACATCATACTATCTTATAATATCAAAACATATACATTATTTATAAAAATACCTATGAAGTAAAAAATTTATTATATATGTTTATAAAATTGTGTAAGTTGTAGGATGTTGGTATTCGCTTTGTGGTCGCAATACATTTTGAACTTGTAAAAACCTGAGAGTCGCAGATTCAGAGCTTCGCTACCTTGCACTGACTTGTTCAATTCGTCACTCTATAAATACGAATGTGGGACAAATACGTTTAATTGTTGCAAGAAGATGTTCGAATTATGGAATGTTTTCGGAAATATCAAAAAATATTTTTAATATACAGCTGCTGGATTTTCTGTCTTATTTAAATAATTTAATTTTGCCCACAGATGACTGATGCCATGTCCGAATCTAAAAAGAAATGTAGACAGTACAGTGTTGATTATTTGAAATTTGGCTTCATTCCATCATTGCCGGACAAACAATCGCCTATGTGCCTTTTATGCAACAAAGTTTTGGGCAATGACGCTATGAAACCATCTAAACTGCAAGATCATCTGAGAAGATGCCACCCTGATAAAACAGAGAAAGATTTGAAATACTTTCAAACACTCAAAGATAAATTTCAGAAGAGACCTACACTGGACAGAATGTTCGCTTCGACATCACAAAGAAAGGATGATGGTTTGCGTGCGTCTTACAATATCTCGTTACTTATAGCAAAATCCGGAAAACCGCATACTATCGGAGAGAAGTTAATTTTGCCAGCCGTTGAAGAGGTTTTAAAAACTGTTTTACACAAACCTGCATCTGATATCATGAAAAGAATTCCCTTAAGCAACAATACTGTTGAAAGACGTATTGATGAAATGAAATTGAAAGCTTCTTATGTAATTATTTGCAAACGACCCATTTCTCTATACAACTGGACGGGTCAACTTTACCTGATAATGCAGCATTATTATTGGCATATGTTCGTTTTATTATGAACCAAGAAATCTACGAAGTACTGCTCTTCGCAAGAACTTTGATAACCGACGCTAAAGGTGAATCAATATTTCATGTTTTGAAGGATTACTTCATTGAAAAAGCATTTCCTTTATCAAATATAATATCAGTAGCTACAGATGGAGCACCTGCCATGGTTGGACGTTATCGTGGATTTATAAGCTATTTAAAACAAAATGTGTCAGGGGTGTTAGCAATACATTACCTCATTCATCGACAACATTTAGTTGCTAAAAATTTGAGTGTTAGATTGCATGAATCACTTCATTTAGTCATTGATGCAGTAAACCGAATCCGAAGCAACGCGTTGAATATGCGGTTATTTGCGCAGTTGTTTGAAGAAAATGACGAACACTTTCATCAATTACTCCTTCACACTGAAGTGCGCTGGCTGTCGAAAGGCTTATGTTTGACAAGATTTTTTGCACTTTTTGAGACTATTTTAGAATTTCTGGATACTAAAGATAAAATTTTAAAAGAAAATTTAATGAAGAGGAAAGCAGACATCGCCTATTTAACAGATTTGTTTACAAAATTTAATATGGTTAATTTGCAATTACAAGGCGACAGTTTAAATTTGATTAAAACAAAGTCCATCTTATCAGCGTTTCTTGCCAGAGTTAAACTAATGAAGCAAAATATTGGACGGGACGAATTTTCTCAGTTCCCCAATTTGTCACAGACAAGCTGCCAGGAAGACGACGTTTCAACTTACGTTCAACATTTAAATGCCGTCTATTCAGATTTTCAATCTAGGTTTGAGGATATTTTGACTATGGTAATACCACCGTGGATAATTAATCCATATGGTGACATAGAAGAAACGAATGCCATAATACAAGAGGAACTGACTGAACTAAATACAAACGAAGAACTTAAGGTTCAGTTTAAAAACGGATATCAGCAATTCTGGCTGCAAAACAACATACCCGTTACTTATCCCGTATTATGAAATACAGCGAGGAAATTTTTAATTTCCTTTCCATCGTCATACCTAGTGGAAAGGGGGTTCAGCGCTGTTAAAAATCTCCTAACGAAAAAAAGAAACAGACTGGACATCATTAGCCGAGGAGATTTAAGATTAACCCTTACAAAATTGACGCCAAATGTTGATAATTTATTATTAAAGGTTCATCCTTCTCACTAAAAAGATTGACTTATTGCTTATGTTATTTTATTTATAGTTTATTTTATGTTTATTGGTGTCTGACCAATAAATGCCCGCATTGGGAATAAGTGCCCGCATTGATTTTTTTAAAGAACCCCCCTTTATAGAAAATATTTTTTTTTAATTATTCTGAAAGTTCAAGGATAGGTACACACTAAAATTCGTTAATTTTTTGCCTATTTTTAGATAACTTGAGCGTATAAGAAGCGGAATTTAATCAAACTAACAGTGAAATTATTGTAGAACATACGTTTATGTTATAATTAATAAACGAACTCGCTTATTGGTCAGACACCTGTTTATTTAATGTTACGTATATTTTACATAACAGATACAAGATTTTATTTTGAGTAGTTTTAATTTAAATTCAATTAATAAATGTATAAATTAACATGTGTTTTTACTTTAAGTTTTTAACACTAAACTTCACTACAGTTAGAAATTTACAGCAAATCAATATCAGGTAAGTAGGGGGTCTACCCAACACGGAAAAACATGGCAAGGGGTCTACGATACAAAATAGTTTGGGGAACTCTGATATAGATGCTTCGAAGCAAGAATGAGTCAACTAGACAGACTCTGTATTTTAAGGTACTGTTTTCACATGAAGCGACCCGACGACAACTCAACCTCAACCGGCACGGGTATTATGTAAAAAACCTATAAAAAGTCAAAAGATCCTATAAAGTGTCATCTTGCTGACAAGGTAGTTTTTAGGGTGCAAACAGTCATTCCACGTTTGCTCACTAGGATCGTGGTGAGCGTCCTTCTATGGAGGAATGGCTCAACTACGCGCATTGTTGGTTGGATATGTTGTCTGAAGCCGAGTAGTCTGTACTTCTCATATCTGAGAAGAAAGTTGGTTGAATAGTAAGATCGCATATGATTGTGTGTTGGTCTGCAAGTGTATAATGCTCCCAATGAAGTATATCTATTAGCTGTGCCCGACTGGTTATTTATATGTTATCCGTCCTACAGACAGGTTATGTTTAAAGTTATAAATCATTATTTTTTTCGTTGTTTTGTGTTTTCAAAAACTTTGAGGAGAATTACGGGAAGTCACGACCGCGCCCGCGTTGTGTGTAATTACTGTTAGCATGTACGAGTATATGACTTGTAAATCGACAGTGTAAGGCGATTATGATTATTTCTAATCTCTCTCATTTTTGATATTCAGCAAATTTGTATATATAATTTCCAGAATGGATAAGAAGAAGTGGATGCGCAACTAATTTCTAGCTTTCAATCTCAAGTAAGTGTATTTGAGACAAGAATCCAATAGAATTATCATCAACACATATTTTATCAGCACTTAAATCTTCTCTATGCACCTATGTATTGCCGGTTGCATATATCTATAGTATACAACTTACAGCTTAGACCTCCAGTAATGCCATCTCTGAAGCAGATTTTTACGTCACATCAGAAATAAAAATTGATAACTGAAGCATCATGATGTTTAGGCAACACATACAACTAGAAAACGAGTTCACAACGCGTCCATCAGCTAGCGCTAAGTAAACGTCTTGTAGAAAAACCTACATAATGTCACAAAAAACCTAAATAATTTCAAAAAAAATCTACATAATGTCACTTTTCGGAATACGTAATACCCTTGCGGATCTCACCGAAAGCAACTGGTAACTTCTTTTTGGGGTTGCAAAAAAATCACTAAATGCTTACTAGTATCTAAAAATGCGGCATATAGACTATGTTACTTCCCACGATACTGGTGAAGAAGTATTGTAAATTCGAAAATGAGATAATTAATTTTTTCAGATGTTGTATGACATCATAAAAACCATGTCACGGATTTCTGGTTATCTGTCTGTCTGATTGTCTGTCTGTCTATCTGTTTGTCTGTCTATCCACTTATACTATAACCGCCTATAACTTGAGAAAATTTTCATGAAACTTTTACACAGTGTTACTTACTATGCTGTTACTTGGCGGAGAAAAACATAAGAAAGTAAAAATCACTCAGATTTCATTTTTTGACGTTTCAGTGGATCCCGATCATTTTTGGAGAAATTTTTAGAGGTAAAGAATTTGGGAATGGGAGGCTGTAGGGGGTGGTTAGGACATATCTAAATTTTTTAATGTTAGTGTATTTACGCGCTCCCAACCTTGGTAATTATATGCACCTATTAGACATCTTTCACACATCATATATTTCTCGATACATTAGCCCTTGAAACCGGTCGCATCTGCTCCTGCTCTCGGCGGCGTAATTACTGCCGCGCCACTGCATAGTGTTCCCTATGCTGTGAGCGCGCTTTCACGACTTACTGGTTTAGGTATCGGGAAGAGGCGATGAACTACCGGTAGGGCAGGGAAAGAATTTCTATGGATCACTTGTATGGACCTGTTTGACTGACTTTATTATTAGTGGATCTAGTGTGTGCCAAACACAATCCTTTATGAATTGATACCGGCGTTGCCTACCTATTTTTGATGCTATATGAGATGTACATCACGAAAAACTATATCACGCATTTCCGTCGGTCTGTCTGGCAGTTGATTGGTCTATCCGCTAATATTTGGCCCGTCTATAACTTGAAAAGTATAGCTTGGATGTTGATGAAATATTTACACAAAAATACTAGTTACTTTGCCAAAAAGCTTTGTAGTCTTTGAAAATCGTATCGTCGACGGCGGAGATAGAGGCAAACCATGAAAAAATGTAAATCGCTCAAAGTTCGTTTTAGGGTATTTTGCGGTAGGAAATTCACAATAGCTCGATTAGTGCGTCGCCTTTATGCTGAATAGCGGTAACCATGGGGTAGCACTGTACGTCTCTCAGCCGCTTTTACTTGGCTGTCAGATTTGATAGTTTGTTGATTGAACGTTGCGAACTGTCAAAGCTATTATAGGGCTTCATTATAAAAGCACTTCATCGCTTGACTGCTCTAGTTTGTTCGAATGGTCTCTTTTGTACCTAAATGTCGGCGAACTACACTCTTCTACGCGTTCCGCCTGTCATTTTCTATCTACCTATATACAAATAGAAACCCTAGGATTATATAAAATCAAGATACGTCTTCACCGTTCGACTTCTCATCTGTCTTATCAGCTTAGTTAAAATCATTGTCTGTCCACTCATTTGACAGCCTTTAGCTGTAAGCCTTATTATCAATTCCAATCGTCTCTGTCCGCTTACCCACAACATTGGAGCAAATTATTCAGAAAACGCTATCGAAACAATACAGGCGGCCACCGTACCCGCATATTCAGCTTCTTTTATGTATGGGAAATCCAGAGGGAAACCGTAGCATAAGCTTCTAGTTTAAAAACAAAGTTTCTGTTTTTCACACTTGAGTACAAATTTTCTCTATTTCACCGTTAGAGACAAATTTTGCACTCCACGTTAGTCTTACTTCGCGATTCAGTGGATATTTAATGATGCAAACATAGGATATTAAATTCAACTAAATTTAAATCCGCTGATGAAGTCAATTGCGAACATATACAATAGAGAAATTAAACGGATCAAGCCAGTCAAACAGGCTCATACAATTAATTCATAGGCATTATTTTCCTGGCCCACCGGTAGTTACTGTCAAGGTTGGGGACGTTGTCCTTTTCCACATCTGCATGGCAGCGCCCACCGCTGTCAGACCGGAATGCTAGGCTGTGAGCTTAAATTGCAGGAGTACGCGGATAAGAGACATTTTTTATCATTCTAGGTCTTATAACTGCATATAATTACCAAAG